ATTTTTTTAAAAAAGTAAACAAACAAACAAAAAAAGTGGTTCTCAGCCTTCTTAATGCTGCCACCCTTTAATACAGTTCCTCATGTTTTGGTGAACCCCCCAACCATAAAATTATTTTTGTTGCTACTTTGTAACTGCAATTTTGCTACTGTTAGGAATCGGGCAACCTCTGTGAAAGAGTCGTTCAACCCCCAAAGGGGTCATGACCCACAGGTTGAGAACCGCTGTCTTAAAAGTAGGACTCGGGACAAAAGCAAAAACAAAACAGCACAAGAAGGGAAGAAATCAAGTAAGTAAACTTAAGGACATTTCTCAGAAATAGGGAGGGTAAGTTTCCATGTTTAAGAGGTCTAACACAATGGGGAAACATCCCCACAATGACATCTTTGGAATTTCATAACACTGACCGCAAAGGAGCCCTGGTGGTGAAAATCATGAAGAGCTTTGTTGCTAATTGAATGGTCATCAGTTCAAGCTGACCTGTCTCTCTGCAAGGGAAAGATGTGGCAGTCTGCTTCCCTAAGATTGGTGGTAAAACACGGATGTGATTATTAAATCCTCTTGCACAATAGCAAGAATAGGCACTGCCTATAATTGAAGAGGGAAGGTTTAAGAGCTTGGCTACTAATTTAGATTCAAACCTACCAGGGGCTCAGAGGGAGAAAAGGGCCCACAATGTGCTTCCATAAAGATTACAGCGTAAGAAACCCTACGGGCCGTTCTAATTGCTCATAAAGGCTAGCTAGCAGTTGAAATGAACTCAATGGCAACCAATTAAGAATTAAATCGTCGTAATCTAGTTATTTTGAGGATGGAGATAATTGCAAAATCATCTTAAAGAGTGAAAGTTATTTGCTTCTTCTTAGAGAAAATGAAGTGGGAGGAGAGTCAGGAGACTCCTTGCTTTTGGAAAGAGGTTTTAAACCTTTTTTGCATGTATAATTTCAATTTTGAAACTAATGTTTTAGAAGCATGAGAAACAAAGGTTAGGTAAAGGAGGCAAATATTGACAACTGTTTTAAAGAATTTCACTAATGTCAGGGAAATTACAGTAGATATAAGAGAAGAAAGAAGAAATGGATTCATATTCTTTTTGTTGTTTTGAAGCTGGGTGATAAGGTAGCATATTTGTGTCTGAAGGAACTTCCTGATTCAGAAGGAACAATAGTGCAAAAGCTCAACAATGGGCAAAACAAACCCACATCGGAGAAGCCAGGATGGCGGCTACATTTGGCGGGTAGTGATTGAGAGGGTCCATGAAGGAGGTTTTTGTGTCTTCAGTAACGCTCTATTTCTCATTGTGAGGGGTAGTTATCTGGGTGGATTCTTTCTGATCATTCACCAAGTGACAGATTTCTGATTTGTGTGTTTTTCCGTTTATACATTATACTTCAAGTTCAAAGGTTTTGACGAGAAGAGGAGGAAATGGAATCTCATGTACAAATGGAGAGGGTGATCTTCAGCAGCAGCACAAGGTCAGCCAGAAAACCAGGAGAAAAGGCAGATGGATACACACACAAGAGGAGCTACACATGTAAGAAGAGGAATAGATGCTGTGCTGGGCGCGTGGGGTAAGTCCTCTGCAGTCAGCCTTTTCAAGGTGAAAAAGGAAGCAAAGCCCTATCAACTGCAATCGACAAACGGAGAAGGAACTGCTAGGGCACAAAGGAGAGAAAAGCAGGTGTGAAACAGTTTTCAAGCAAACTAAGCAACTCTATACATAGTAGGATCGCTAACTGTAGGTGATGAAGATGCATTTAACGTAGCACCAGTAACATCCTCCGGTTTCTCCTGCAGTCAGAGGGAGGGAACAGGAATTGAACTGGATTTAAATGAAGCATTTTGCCACCCAAATGGGCAGACTAGAAATTTCTAGTAGCATATTCTCAAATTCCTTCCCTACGTGTCCTGCAAACATAATGGCTACTTTTACAAATCATAAACACACAATAGTCTTTATTAGGATTACCAACGGCAAAGAAAGCAATACCATACCTTGTTGGCAGCAACCAAGACTTTATCAAGAAATCGCAGCCATTCAAAGATAAAAACCGGTCTCTTTGCTTCTGTGATTTGAGCCAAAGCATCCTCATTCAACAGCAAACTGTGTGCTAACTCCATTATTGGTGAAGTTTTAAGTTCACACCTTAAATGGAAAGATTAAGCAAAAATGCTCATGAGGGTTTTTTGAATGCTAAAAGGTCAGCTTAATGAAATGAAACCACTAACAAATGAAAAGAACGGCTTTACATCTCATTTCACTTGAAATGAGACAAAGCCTAAAAATGTAAAGTGAAAAGGAAGCAAGCAACCCATGCTCGGTGAGGAGGAATAATAAAGTCAAAGGAAAATTAAAATAAAGGTCGCAAACAAGGCATCATTCCCGAAGAAACATGTCATTCACCCACTCCATCAGGCCTGACAACCCACCCCGCCTGGTCTTGTCCATAGCTTGTGCCCGCTGCACCTGGCCCAGACGGACGTTCAAGTCCCTGTCCCAGCATAAAGATCCCAAACGGAATGTCTCCAAGGGTCTTCCTGGAGGCGGCCAGGTTCCTCTGCGGAGCTGCAGTCACGAGAGCGGGAGGCCGGGAAGACAGCCGGCCGAAGCCCCGCGCCGCAGGCTAGTTCCCTCGGCTACTCCGAGGTCGTCGCTCCGCGCGGGCCCGGCCCAGACTGACTAGGACGGTCAACTCCAGGAGGGGCTTGCAGGGAACCGAGCCGGCAAGCCCCCCGCGCCCCCCAAAAGGTACGACGTTCACATTACGGGCTCGGATTTCTCCCCCGCCCCCTCTGGAAATATACAGGGGGGCAGGGGCGTGTCAGCGTGTAAAACGTGCGCGCTTTGGTGGCGAATTGGGTTGACCTCACCTCCTCGTCTGGCAAGGGATCAGCGGGGATGCCGGGCCGACACAGCCGCCTCGGGACCCCTATACCCCGCCTCCAGGACGCCTGCCAGCAGGAAACGGAGCGACGGCGCGTGCGCGGAAAGTGGGTTGGGTGTTGTTCTGCGCAAGCGCACTACGACGTCTTCCTAGCCCCGCCCACAACATTTCAGCGCCCGGAAACGAGGCGGTCCAGGGCCCTGGCGGTGTGCGCACGCGCAGTGCGCGCTTCACGCTGGCGGGCCTGGAAGGGTAGAGCTGTCAGGTAAGGAGTGGGGGACTTTAGAGGTTGGGGAAAGCCGGGTGTGCGTCGATTGTAACTGGCCCACCACACTCTCACCTACATTCCCACCCGAGGGCGGTCAGCTCGACGGGAGACTTGCAGCCAGGGAAGGAGCGTGAGAGGGAAGGTATCCGCGTCCCCATCAGGACGTACTTGGGAATGAGGCGTTTCTTGTCTCCTTTCCGCTCGCGACGAATTAGGCAAATTCTCCTCCTGAAGAGTAAGACTGCGTCGCCACTTAGGCATTTCTCCACGTGAAGGGATTCGCAAACTTCATATGCCTAAAACAGCATTACAGTTGCTACCTCCCTGTCAAAAGCAAAAACCCCTGTTCATGCCATCTTCCCACTCAAATAAAATTGTGGAATACCATTCTTTCAGGTATTCTGGCCGAGAACCTTAACGTAGCCCTTTGACACCCCACCTGCAATCCATCAGCAATCCTGTGAGCTTTGTCGTCAGAATGCACCAGAGTGATCCAAGCCACCCCATCGTGGCACGGATTAGCCTTGTGAAGTATCTCCTTAGGCTTGATGGGATTGGGTGATGCGATAGTATATTGCACCGATTAAATTGAAGCTCGGAAAACCCAGACCCCCATCCAGGTCTGGGGTACTCAGCAGAGGAAGCCTAAAGTGGCTGCCCCAGACTTGTGGAAATGGTGTCATTGAGACCTTGGAGGGATTGGTGGGTGCCCAACGAAAAGGGACCTAGAATCACCATATATCTCCATTCCTCCCTCGCAGCAACATGACAGGTTTTGACATGTTGGGTAGGGGGTTGAACTTGGAAGAACTGATCCAGGAATTTTCCCCTGGCACCAACCTCCATCCTTCGGGAGATCCAGCTGTGTGGAGCACAAGTCATGGGCTGCAGCTCCCGGGGTGGAGCTGTACCTGCATAGGCTCTTCATACAGACAGCATCCAGAGTGATGTGCCATTGGAAACATTGATGATGTTACAGGTGCAGTTACCTTATACCCCAGGGAGATGATTGACAAGTGTTCTACTTTCCTGTTTCTATGGGCTTTTGTTTCCCTGCGTTTAGTTTGCTTGGTTTTGTTTGTTTGTTTGTCTCTTGTTTTCTGCTACTTGGTTTATTGCTGTTGGTGGAGTAGTTGGTCTTATGGGGTTTTGAATTTGTCATAATATGAACGCCAATATAAACCTGAGTCATGCATATCCTAGGGACCAGCAGATGGATTATGAGCCGCCCCTGAACTCTAGTTCCAATCAAGAACAGTTAGTTCTGATAACATGGCCCTGCTCTATACTCATGAAATGATCACTGAAGATAAGGTGCTACACCACAGTGTGGTGAAGAAAGTAGGTGTTGCTCCAGCTATCAATTGGAATAGTGTCCGGGGTCTTAAATGCTTGTATTCAGACAAGCTGCCATCTGAGTGAGGAGTCAGCCAAGTCCACATGGAAGGAGCACACCAGCTTGTGTGATCCAAAAACAACAATAACAAAATCCAAATATGACAAAGGAAAAAGTATCAGCCTAAATTGTGAACACCCAATTTGTAGAAAGCTTTGGAGAACAGAGGGAGCCCAAAACCCATCTGCAGAGTACCTAGCCTGATTAAGCCGCTGACAGATTCCCACAAGATTCTTCTAGGTTTGAATATTTCTTCTTGTTGCATAACAAAAATGTCTTCCCTGTCCTCTTAAATATTCACAGTGGTCTTTTCTTTCTTACCCACTAATTGTATTTTATCTGTGTATTATTATTGTTCTCTCTTCACCACTTTATTTTTTTCCTGTTTCTATTGGGTTTTCTAGTTGCAGTGCACAGACGGAATAGAGGCATAGAGATAAGTACTGATAGAAGGGAGTATAGAGGAAGATGGTGAAGGGTTGAGGGAGAAAACAGTGTATGTGGGAGGGGGATGGATCTGATGATGATTACACAATTCATTTAAAAAGTGATTTAACCATGGGGGGGGTGTTCTAAAATTGATTGTGATGATTGTACAACTCTCTTTTTAAAAAATCATTTTATTGGGGGCTCATCCATCCATCCATTGTGTCAAGCACATCTGCACATTTGTTGCCATCATCATCTTCAAAACATTTTCTTTCTACTTGAGCCCTTGGTATCAGCTTCTCATTTCCCCCCTCCTTCCCCCGCCCTCCCTTCCTCATAACCCCTTATAATTTACAAATTATTATTATTTTTTCATGTCTTACACTGACCGATGTCTCCCTTCACCACTTTTCTGTTGTCTGTCCGTCCCCCTAGGAGGGGGTTATAGGTAGATCATGGTGATTGGTTCCCCTTTTTTACCCCCACCTTCCTCTTCCTGATATCTACTCTCATTATTGGTCCTGATGGGTTTATCTGTCCTGGATTCCCTGTGTTTCCAGCTCTTATCTGCACCCATTGTACAACTCTTCTTGTCATGATTGAACTATTGAATTGTGTGATAAGTGGATTAGAGGGCAATAAAACTGTTTTTTTTTTAAATCATCCTGCTTGCAGCAGCAAGAACACAGAAACCTACATACTTTGTGTTTTTTAACAAGTGGTTTAGCCCTACTGAGCCTTCAGTACTCCCCCAAAACTACCTGTTGTGATTTGCTTTGATTAGGCCCTGACTCATGGTGGCCTTCAAAACAAAACCAGAGCAAAACAAGACTCATATGTATTGCCTGCCGCGTGATTCTGACTCATAGCCACCCTGTGGGACAAGAGACAGAATAGGGTTCCCAAGCCTGTCACATCTTTCTCTTTCAAAGAGTGTCTGGTGGGTACCACCACCCATCTTTTAGTTAGCAATGAGTTGGAATCTATTTAATGGCAGTGAGTTTGTTTTGTTTTTTTGTTTGTTTGTTTGAGGGCATAATCACTGTGCCACCACAAGCCTGGGTAACTAAACAAACAACACCCAATTTTTTTTTAGCTGTAATCATTTTATTGGGGGCTCTTACATCTCTTTTAACAGTCCATACATTCATTGTTTCAAGCACATTTGTACATATGTTGCCATCATCCTTTTTGAAACATTTTTTTCTACTTGAGCCCTTGGTATCAGCTCCTCATTTTTTCCTACTGTCCCACCCTCATGAACCCCTTGAGAATTATAAATTATTTTTATTTTCATATTTTTACCATCTGCTGTTTTTGTTGTTTGTCACCGGGCGCAGCGGGGTGGTATCCATCTATCATTGCAATCAGTTCCCTCTTTCTCCCCTTACATTCTCCCTACCTTAATGGCATGGCCACTCCCATTATGTTCCTGAGGGGTTTACCTATCCTGGGTTCTGTGGTTCCGGAGATCTTATCTGTACCAGTGTACATGCTCTGGTCTACCCAGATTTGTAAGGTAGAACTGGGCTCATGATGGGGGGGTGGGGGGGTGGCAAGGGAGCATTAAAGACGTAGAGGAATGCTATATATTTCATCGGTGCTATACTGCACTCTGGCTTGCTCCTCCCTTCCTTGTGACCCTTCTGTGAGGGGATGTCCAATTGTTTACAGATGGGCTTTGGGTCTCCACTTAGACCCCCCTTGTTCGCATCAATATGATTGCTTGGGGTCTTCTAGTGCCTGATACCTGATCCTGTGGACACCTTGTGATCACATAGCTGGTGTGCTTCTTCCATGTGGGCTTTGTTGCGTCCCAGCTAGATGGCCACTTGTTTATCTTCAAGCCTTTAAGACCCAGATGCTATATTTTTTAGTAGCTGGGCACCTTCAGCTTTCTTCACCACATTTGCTCATGCACCCATTTTGTTTCAGCGATCGTGTCAGGAAAGTGAGCATAACAGAATGACAGGTTATTAGAACAAAGTGTTCTTACATTGAGGGAGTACTTGAGTAGAGGCCCAATGTCCATCGACTACCTTAATACTTAACCTATGAATATATGTACATAGACCTATATCCCTATCATTATATATAAATATATTTACATATGTACATGCCTGTAGTTATATCTCTGTAATTGTCCTTTGCCTCCTAGTTCTTTCTTCCATTTCCTTTTACTTTCCTCCTGTCCCACTATCATGTTTGGCCTTCATTCAGCTCTCAATAATTCCTCTCAGCGACATTGCACTTGATCAAACCCTACCAGGCACTCCATACCCTCCTTCTCATCAATTTTTAGATCACTTGTTTTTCCCTTGTCCCTGGGTTTGTTGACTGCCCCCTTCCTTTCTCCCACCTTCCTGTCTCCCATGTCCTCCCGGAACCATCGGTTCCATTGTTTTCTCCTCAGGATTGTTTATCCTTCCTATCATATAAATAGACATGGTGGTGGTCGGGGAGAGCCTATAACTAGTTCCAGGTCTGTTGACCCTTATGAACGTTTTCTGATCGAGTCAGATGAAGTGCCAAAGCCTGCCCCAAAGTCTATTTTGGGGATTCCTCGAGGACTTCATTGCTTTGCGCCCCTTGCTGCTCTGTTGTGCTCCTTTCGTGTTTCGCCCCTATGTGGGAGGGTCAGACTGGGCACAATTCCAGCACTGGCTCCTGTGTTGTCCCCTGTAGCACTGTGGGTCAGTGAAGGAACGTCGTGTCTTGTGGTGGAGTTGGCTCTATAGACCTCTCTGTGCATTTGCTTTCCCAAGCAGGAATAACATCCTTGGGATTTGGGGGGCCAGGATTAGGTTCTCTTTCTCTCTCTCCTTCCCTCTTAGTGTGTTCTGAGCACACCCGCACCTCTTCCCGAGCTGTATCTTCAGTGCTGTCCTCTGTGGTGCGTTCTTCTGGGGAGGAGGTCCACATAGCTGGGATTGGG